TGCCTGTTGTAAACAGTGCTGCAATAAACATGGAAGTACCGACATCTATCCAACATGTTGATTTCCTTTCCTTTGGATATATATCCAGTAGTGGGATTGCTGGATCATTTGGTAGTTCTATTTTTAGCTTTTTGAGGGACCACCATATTTTTCCTATGCATAATGACTGTATTAGTTTACATTCCCATCAGCAGTATGTAAAATTTACCTTTACTCCACATCATCACCAACATTTGTCAGTTTTTTTGTTTTTTCCTTTGTCTTTCTGATAAAAGCCATTCTAAATGGAATGAGATAATATTCCACTATAGTTTGAATTCCATTTCCCTAATAACTAGTAATGTTGAGTATTTTTTCATGTACTTGCTGACCAGCTGTATGTCTTCTTTTGAGAAATGCCTTTCCATTTAACTTTTCCATTTTTAAATAACATTATTTGGGTTGTTTTGTTATTGAGGTGTTTGGGTTCTTTATACATTCTGGGAATTGATCCCTTGTAGAATGCATAACATGCAAATATTTCCTCACATTCCCCATGCTGTGTCTTCACTCTGTTGATTATTCCCTTTGCTGTGCAACCTAATCTTAATGCAAAACCCTAAAGTTATCTAATTAAGGTTTCTAAATATGTCTAAAACTTGAAAATAAGAAACAGAGTTATGAAAGACAAAATAAACATACTACCACTTTTTTTATAGAGATTTATTTTATTTATTTGAAAGACAGAGTTACAGATAGAAGTAGAGCCAAAGAGAGAGAGAGAGAGAGAGTGAGAGAGGTCTTCCATTCGCTGATTCACTCCCCAGATGACCACAACAGCCAGAGCAGAGCTGATCAGAAGCCAGGAGCCAGGACCTTCTTCTGGGTCTCCCAACCATATGGGTCTTTCCCAGACCATAGCAGAGAGCTGTATCAGAAGTGAAGCAGCTGGGACTCGAACCAGCACCCATATGGGATGCCAGCACTACAGGCCAAGGCTTTAACCCACTGCACCACAATGCCGGCCCCACACACTACCTCTAAATTTTCATATACATAATCACTGACAACAAATACTTCCAAAGGCAAAGACTTGTAAATGCCTATTGTTTCTGGTAAGATTCAAAATTATTTTGGTGATTAGGCAATTAATGATTAAAGGCTTAGTGAAAATATAGATTTGTTATTTTCTTCTAAAACTCTTAAACTAATCCAAGTTAGATTTTTAATTAAAAATCATTTTTCAGCCTGATAATGCTCTCTCTTGAATTATTTGACACAGGATTCAGGAAAGTTCACTTTAATCTCCTGAGTCTGGATCAATAAAGGATAACCAAGTAGTTTACCATCCAAATAGATATCAAATTATGTAACAAACAAGGATAATTGGAATGTATATCACTTGTTCCAAATTTTAAATTTCAAAAGCATTTAGCTATGAGGAGATAATTCATGCTCCCTAACTGGGACATAATAATAATGAAGAAGATTATAGAGTTGAAATATAGATGGCAACTATTTAAGATATGGCTTAAAGATACAGAATTTTAACCATACATCTTGTCCAAAATAACACTAACTTCTTTATTTTATTTTATTTATTTATTTTTTATTTCTGATTATCACAAAGTAGATTAAATACTTTGCCTACCATCTGTACTCAGAGCATAACCTCAGGCCCAGGAAAGATACGATATGAAATATTAAATATTCAATTTCATTATTTCATTTTCTAATGTCACTTCATTATTCCTACCTCATGCCCAACCCTGTGTTAGGAGCTATAAATACAGAAATAATTAAAGATGAACTTTTCTTTTTTTTTTAAACTTTTATTTAATGAATATAAATTTCCAAAGTACAGCTTATGGATTACAATGGCTTCCCCCCCATAACGTCCCTCCCACCCACAACCCTCCCCTTTCCCACTCCCTCTCCCCTTCCATTCACATCAAGATTCATTTTCGATAAAGATGAACTTTTCTTAAGGAACTCAGATGCAAGAAAAAGTATGTATAATATAAAGTGGGAAGAGGTACAGAGATATGCACCAAGTGCCATCATGGCAGTAACCACCTCCAAGTGGAGGTCAGAAAATAGTTTCTGAAGAAATGAGTTTTGAGACAGGATTGAACAAAAAAAAAAGAGTATGGATTTGCCAAAGCAGGAAGGGAAGAAGATTCTTTGAAAGAAAAAAAGGAAGGAAGGAAGAAACAAAGAAAGGGAAATTTACAAAGCATAGAGTACAGGTAAGGCAAGCAGGCCATGCATGATGGCACTGCCCAAATTATTTGCATCATGGTTATTAAAGATTTTATTAGAACAACTTTCAGCAGATGACAGTAAAGGAACTTGAGAAATGGAGACCTTTATCTAATTTGCACATTTCCTTGGGTTAATGATCATACTAGCCGATGTTTTTGGCTTCTTCTAAGGTCAGACGGAAGTTTAGTATGGTAGAGGCAAAGGATACATGGTGAGCAAAGGGCAAGAAGTAGGGTTGAAGCAACAAATTGGGACACATAAAGCCAAGGTGTTGTCAGCTTTAGACCAGTGATGGGATCCATTTAATTCAATCAGGACAGTAATGCTACTAATTGTGAAGAACAGGATGGAGTGAGACAATAATGGAAATAAAGAGACTAGTTGGAAAGCAACGGCAATAGACTAGTGAAAGACCTGTATAAAGGCAAGGGTAACAGTAGGAGAGAGGGACCAAATTTGATGGGCATTTCCTATCAGCTAAATTTGAACACAAACCACTACTTTAATGCAAACTATATTTTTCTCCGATCCAAATATCCCCATTTGTGAGATGTAAATCAGAGCCATACAAGAAATAAAAGAAACTCTTAAAACTAAGATAAAAGGTATTCAAATTTAATAATGTAGTTATTCTAAATTTGAAACCACATCCGGAGACTTTGTATTAGGAAGTAATCAAAACCATGAAATGACTATTAAAAGTATTCCAGGTAAGCTGAGGACTTCTGTAAAAATTAATTCCTAACTGAACAGTGTACTAATTTAGCAGAACATTTTCCCAAGTTACTAAATTTTTAAAACCTGGAGGATTTTTTGCAGGTTTTATAGTAATGAAACATTCATTGGCAGAATTATTGGATACAATTCACCATTGGCCAGTAAAAGAGAGTTACACGTTTCCCCATTTTCTCCCTATACTTTCATTACTTTTACAGGAACATTTTACTGATGGCAAAGTTCATCAGAGTCAGTAGCAATCCAGGTTGTTAAAAATACCTGTCTTCACATTTTTCCATCATCTTCAAAGATGTGGAACTTACTTAGACAATAAAGGGAGGTCATTTTCTCCACCCTACGTGTCCTCTTTTCCTTGAACCTAAAGTTTCTGCTCCCCAAAACTTAGAAGGCAAAGAAAGTAGTCATGCCAGTTGGCATGATCTACCTATACATAAAAGAATCACCAAAAAAAAAAAACTTTATTGGTACAAAATAATAGCTTTGCCCAGTTTCCAACCCATTTGATGCAAAAAGTATGTCAGAATGCTAGATTATGAAATAATGTTTAGTTTTCAGGAGATCAAATCTGTGAAGGATGTGTATGGCAGCTAACTACCTATTTGGAAAGGAAGGGACTGCCCCACAAGTTATTTTAGTATTGTCTTGATTTTTTTTTCCAGGTGACTGAATTTTGTACAGCAAATACACACAATACAGAAGCTCCAAACCTACAAAACAAAATGTGTAATCACAGAAGCACATGGGATGTAATCATGGACTCTGAGGATTTTCAGAATGCATCTTCCATGGCAGGAACGAATCCGCCACCTCATCCTATATTTTCTTTGCTCAGAGCCAAACAACGAGTAGTCTGTTTGGTACTTGATAAATCTGGAAGCATGGACTCTGTAAGTCAGGTTTTGTTGTTGTTGTTGTCTTTCTGATTTTGTTTCTGTTTTGCCTGTTCTCTTAAGCAATTAAACTAATAGAAACAAACTTAATCTGAGGTTTACTTCTCCATAACTAACAAACATTCGTTTATGTTCTAATAAATTTTAATGTGATGATTTTTATTCCTTAACTTTTATTTCTGGCTAACCAGAAAGAAATACAATTTTAAAATCAGGAAAAATGAAAATTATCCATAAAACCACGATCAAACCTTGTCATTCCAGTCTCATCTTTGTTAATATATGGGTATTTGGGTTTTTTTCCTTCAAAAATGTGATCATATTTTATATAATGTCTTATAATCTGACTTTTTTGCTTAACATACCTTAAGTATTTTCTATGTAAAAAGTAATTCCATTATACAGTTTTTAATGGTTACATCACATGTTCACAACATAATGTAGTCAATCTCTCATTGCTTGATATTTTGAAAATTTTAAACTTGTTATTTAAAAATGTGTTGCAGTGAACATCTTTGTATGCATTTTTTAATTATTATCTTAGGAAAAATTCCTGTATAAAAAACTATTAAGGGGCCAGTGCTGTGGAATAGTAGGCTAAGCTTCTACCTGGGGAGCGAGCATCCCATATGGGCTCCAGTGCATATCCCAGCTGCTCCTCTTCTGATCCAGCTCTTTGCTGTGGCCTTGGAAAGCAGTAGAGGATGGCCCAAGTCCTTGGGCCCCTGCACCCACGTGGGAGACTTGGAGGGAGCTCCTGGTTCCTGGCTTCAGAATGGACCAGCTCTGGCCTTTGAGACCATTTGGGGAGTGAACCATTGGATAGAAGACCTTTCTCTCTGTCTCTCCCTCTCTCTGTCTATGACTCCACCTCTCAAATAAATAAATAAATAAAATCTTTTTTTAAAAAAAGCTATTAAAACACTATAGATTTTAAGTTTTTTCCTAGTATAACATGATATTTTAAGATATATTGCTTAAATTTTTTAATAAAATAAAGGAATTAACACTTAGAATATATCAGTCAATTATTATCATGATTTATGGCTCATGAATAAATATCTCTTTAATCTGTCAAGATTTCAAGAGACTTGGAAGTATTCAGACAATTTTTTTTTCTTTACACAGGAAGACCGTCTCCTTCGAATGAATCAAGCAGCAGCACTGTACTTAATTCAAATTATTGAAAGAGAATCCTTGGTTGGGATGGTCACTTTTGAAAGTACTGCTAAAATCCAAAATAATCTAACAAAAATAACTGATGATGACACTTACCAAAAGATCACTGCAAACCTGCCTCAAGTTGCTGGTGGTGGAACCTCCATTTGCAGTGGACTCAAAGCAGGATTCCAGGTACATTTTTTAAAAGAATTTAAATATCATTTGTCATTTACTGCTCCTTTATTTTTGTATAATTACCTTTGAACAAGGGTAACAGGTTCTCTTATTTTAAAATATCATGATCATAGGGCCAGATGTGTGTCACAGAGGTTAAGATGCTATTCAGGAGACTGGTATATTGGAGTACATAGTTTGAGTCCCATCTACTCCACTTTCCATCCTGTTTTCCTGTTAGTGCACACCTTGAGAGTCCATAGGCAATGGCTTAACTCTAGGTCCCTGCCACCCATCTGGGGAATCTGGATTGAGTTCCAACCTCCTGGCTTTGGCCTGACCCAACCTTGGCTGCTGTAGGCATTTAGGGAATGAACTAGTGAATTAAAGATCTCTCTCCATCTGTCTGCCTTTCAAATAAAATGAAAATAAATAAAAAATTTTAAAAATAAAAATATTGCGACCTGACTAAAGTAAATCATTGGGGGGGGGGGAGCCTCTTCTACTACCTATTGTTTATAGCTAAAGCTCTACAAGTGCACTGGTTCCACTGGCATAGCCCTAAAGAACTGCATTGCACTGGGGCATCATTAAACCAAGGAAGAAGATTGCAGGGAGCACACAATCATCTGGATTTTCCTGAGGAGCTCCCCATTTCTCTATCACGCCCATGGTCAGCATCTCTGTGAGCAGAAAATATTGCCAGTGAGGAGACTGTTGAAAAGGGAATTAGTAACATTTCTATATCATGAACAAAAGGACAAGGAAAGCCCCAGTGCATCAGTTTAAACTGCTATTTTAAAAATCACAAAGATAGAGGTGGCTACTCAAGCAGTATAGTACCCAAATCAGTGAAACAGGTGGAAGTTAAATGAAATCAAAACTAGGAACTGAAAAAATTGAGTGCACCTTTTGAACACTGCTCAGTTGCCTCTGGTACCCACATGAATTCCTTCCAATCTAGGTTAATCCTGTCTTAAGCCTGTTTATTGCCATGTTTTCAGTCATAAAAACAGAAAAACCACTTCCTTTGCTGATTCCCTCCTTCCCCCAGTTAAAGTGAAGATTCTACTCATAAGCAAGCTTCTGGTTAATAGACCTCTTAGCTTTTCTTGCAGTGTCTATTTGTCATAAAGCATAATGATTTAAGAAGGCAGGCTCTGGACTCAGACAAACCTGGAATTCTGGGACAGGTATTTGGACACCCACATCCCACATCAGAATACTTGAGTTCAATACTCAGCTCCAGCTCAATTCCAGTTTCTTGTTAATGCAAACCCTGGGAGGCAGCAGTGACCACTCAAGTGATTTCTGCCACGTACACAGGAGACCCAAACTGAGTTCTTTGCTGGCAGAAATATGTATACCTGGGAGAAAGACAAGCATTAAGATTCTATCTTTAGGGCCAGCACTGTGGCGTAGCTGGTTGAGCTGCCACCTGCAATGCCAGCATCCCATGTAGGCACCGTTTTGAGTCCTGGCTGCTCCACATCCAGTCCAGCTCTCTGCTATGGCCTGGGAAAGCAGTGGAAGATGGCCCAGGTCCTTGGATCCCTGCACAAGTGCGGGAGACCAAGAGGAGGTTCCAGATTCCTGGCTTCAGATTGGCACAGCTCCGGCTGTTGCAGCCATCTGGGGAGTGAACCAACAGATGGAAGATTCTCTCTCTCTCTCTCTCTCTCTCTCTCTCTCTTTCTCTCTCTCTGTCTCTCCTTCTCTCTCTGTGTAACTCTTTCAAGTAAATAAATACATTTAAAAAAAAAGATTCTATATTTGTTCTCTGAGTGAGATCCCAGCAGAAAGAACGGACCATCAAAGAAGGAGGTACCTTTCTCTGAAGGAAGGAGAGAACTTCCACTTTGATTATGGCCTTGCCTAAATAAGGTCAGAGTTTGTGAACTCAAGAGGCTTCCATAGCCTTGGCAGCTCATGACAAGAGCCTTGGGTGATTAATGACATCATAAATGAGAGTGTCAATTGTTAAATCAACAACGGGAGTCACTGTGCACCTGCCCCCATGTAGGACCTCTGCCCTTAATATGTTGTACTATGAGAATTAACGGTAAAACTAGTATTCAAACAGTACTTTATACTTTGTGTGTCTGTGTGGGACAGAAGTGTTGAAATCTTTACTTAGAATATACTAAGTTGATCTTCTGTATATAAAGATAGTTAAAAATGAATCTTAATGAAGAATGGGATGGGAGAGGAAGTAGGAGTTGGGATGGTTTGTGGGTGGGAGGGTGTTTATGGGGGGAAAACCGCTATAATCCAAAAGTTGTACTTTCAAAATTTATATTTATTAAATAAAAGTTTAGAAGAAAGATTCTGTCTTTGAAAACCTCGAAGACCACTGTACGTTGCGCTCATTTCCATAGGCAAACTCAGCCAGGGATGACAATGTCAAAAGTTTCCTTTTTATTTACTCCAATGCATAGGACTGAAGATTTCTCAAAAACTGAAGGACAGGTATATTCTAGTTTAGGTTTCTTCAGAAATGACTGATAATTAATAACCTGGCTTTTCACTCTCAGGCTATTACTTACAGTAACCAGAATACCTCTGGTTCTGAAATCGTGTTACTAACAGATGGGGAAGATAATGGAATACATTCATGCTTCGAGGAGGTAAAACAAAGTGGTGCAATCATTCACACCATTGCCCTGGGACCTTCTGCTGCCAAAGAACTGGAGATCCTATCAAGTATGACAGGTAAGCCTTTGGAACTTAAGTTCCATGGAAAATAAGTTTCTAATCTCTTCCATATCAGGGGCTCTTTCTCCATAACCTATAAATCTGCTGAAAAATTCCTACCTTATTGCCAGTTTTGCGATGAAGCGGGTTAAGCCACCACCTTTGTCAGTTGCACTGTTTCCAATCTAGTTCCCTGCTAATGTGCCTGCGAAGGCAGCAGAAGATGGCCCAAGTACTTGTGCCCCTACTACCCATGTGGGAGACCCAGATGAAGTCCCTGGCTCCTGGTGCCAGGCCCAAGCCCAGACGTTGTGGTTATTTGGGGAGTGAACCAGTGGGTTGAAGATTCTCTCTCTCTCCCTCTCTCTCTCTCTCTTTTTCTCTCTACAATGTATTTTTTCATAACTCGTCACACCTAGATAATCTTGCTCTTCATTATTTATTGGCTATATTTTTTGTTGGCTTCACTGAATCAATTTCTATTTTATTCTAGATTGTTATTCTCTGTTTTGATTACAAAGTCTCTTCAAAATGTTCATGGAAAATGAATATTAAGAAAAAAACTGTATGGATTTCACAAATTTTTGCATCAAATTAAATATGTTTAATTCCATTTTCCATGAACTCTTTGAGGGCCCCAAATAGAAAATAATAATCAGCTGCCTCATAATACCAACTTAAATTTAATTTTTGGAAACTGCTTAGTGTGGTATACTAGTATGGCAGGCACTTAAATTTTAGATTGATATAAAAACAATAAAATTTGACTTCCCTTTAAAGTTTCCATTATTCTTACTTATACCACTCGTTTTAAACAAGATTTTAGTTATTATAGGATTACATCTGGTACACTGTCACACAGAGTTCATAAGGTTCTGAAAAATTCATTTTTTGTAAGTTTAAAAAGAAATGTACATTGGGATCGGCGCTGTGGCATCGTGGGTAAGGCTGCCACCAGCAGTGCTGGCTTTCCAGGGGGCCGGTTCGAGTCCCAGCTGTTCCACTTCTGATCCAACTCTCTGCTATGGCTTGGGAAAGCAGTGGAATATGGCCCAAGTCCTTGGGCCCCTGCACCCATGTGGGAGACCAAGAAAAAGCTCCTGGCTCCTGGCTTTGAATCAGCACAGCTCCAGCCATTGTGGCCATCTGGAGAGTGAACCAGTGGATGGAAAACCACTCTCTCTCTCTCTCTGCCTCTCTGTAACTCTGCCTTTCAAATAAATAAATAAATCTTTAAAAAAGAAATGTACAGTAGCCATTTGGGGAGCAAATCGGTACATGGACAATCTCTCTGTGTGTGTTTCTCCCTCTCTGTAACTCTGCCTTTCAAATAAATAAAAATTTTAAATTATCTTTAAAAAGAAATGTTAAAATAGATTTTAAAGTTTATTTATGACAGCACAAATACAAATATGATATTCCCCTTCAAAATTCCATTCTAGGAGGGTATCGCTTCTATGCAAATAAAGACATAAATGGTCTTATTGATGCTTTCAGCAGAATTTCATCTAGAAGTGGCAGCATCTCTCAGCAAGCTCTTCAGGTTAGAATATTAAGAAAATTCTTTACTCTCTCACATTGTAATAAATTTCCATTTCAAAATTATTAACTTTTCTTTGTCTAATAAATAAACTTTTTGCCTGAAAATATTTCAGATGTGCAGAAGAAAAACATTCTTACTGAATTTTCTTTTCCATGACACTCTCCTCTTGAATTCTTCCATTCCTCATCTTTATATGTCCTTTATTTGGAAAAATTCTTAAAAATTTCCTTAACCACTTTAACTAAAATCTTAACAAATTTAACATTATTCTGAACTAACTATACTTTAAAGCTCTATTAACTATAATAATAAATGGGTTTTATATGTTGTTTTTATTTATGTAACAGTTGGAAAGTAAAGCCTTGAATATAACGGGAAGGAAATGGATAAATGGTACAGTGCCCGTGGATAGTACCATTGGAAATGATACTTTCTTTGTTGTCACATGGACAGTGCAAAAGCCAGAAATTATTATTCAAGATCCAAAAGGAAAAAAATATAATACCTCTGATTTCAAAGAAGATAAGCTAAATAGGCGGTCTGCTCGCCTTCGAATACCAGGTGTTGCAGAGGTAAGTCTATTCTTTTATTTTCACCATGCCTTATTAATCAATTTCTATTTTTTAAAAGAAACTAACATCATATATATTTCCAATATTAAAATAGCAACACATCATATTATTAAAAAAGAAGTCAAATAGAATAATTGGGTATTCATATCCACACTATTACTAGTTTATAAAATCAGATGTTAAAACTCATAATCATTCTCTTTAAAGTTTTGAATAATGTAACATTGCAAGTAAGGAATAGTAAACTATCACCAAGGTTCCAAAATAGATTTTTGCTTTAAATTTTCAGACAGGTACATGGACTTACAGCCTTCGAAGTAATCATCCCAACTCTCAATTAATTACGGTGACAATGACCACTCGAGCAAAAAGTCCCACCACACTCCCAATAATTGCAACTGCTCACATGAGTCAAAATACAGCACGTTACCCTAGCCCACTGATTAGTTTATGCACGAGTCAGCCAAGGGTTTCTGCCTGTTCTGGGAATCAATGTAACAGCTATCATAGAAACTGAAGATGGACATCAAGTAACTTTAGAGCTCTGGGATAATGGGGCAGGTAATAAAATCTACATCAACTTCCTTAAATCCTCGTACAATTTCATAACTCAGAAATCAACATTTTCTGTATAGCTAAATGAATCATAAAGATGAATTAAATTTTGATTCTTTTAAAACTTCATAGTTGGTTATCTTGACAAGTCAAAGACAGAGACACATTTATCTTCTTTAAATTTTATGAACAATTTTGCATTTCCTATGAAACTTATAAGTAGAATTTTTCTTTATTTTCATTAATGCCAGTGTTTCAATCTCCAGTTCAATTATATTTTCTGCATTTTGATAAACTTCTTTTATAAAATTCCAATAGTAACAGCTTGTAATAGTGGAAAGTCTACCAGGAATTAGATTTTTCTAATATCCTGCGGTTAGCAAGTGGACAAATAAGCTTTGATCCAAATCAGTCTAATTCTGGGATGGTGTACTTAGAACACTATGCTATACTATAATCCAGATTGCTGACATCACTAATGCTCATGAACAGTTGTCTTTTTTATTTTATTGGATGACTAATTATTACATTTCAATTTCAAGGTGCTGATACTGTCAAAAATGATGGCGTCTACTCAAGATATTTTACAGATTATCATGGAAATGGTAGATACAGCTTAAAAGTACATGCCCAGGCAAGACAAAACACAGCAAGGCTAAGTTTAAGGCAACAACAGAACAAAGCTCTGTATATACCAGGCTATGTTGAAGATGGTAAGTATCATTAAAATAGAGACATGTCAGTTGTTTAAGTAAATTGCATATGGCAGACACTGAAAATATAATGTACTATGGAAAACTCAAAGTATATGCAATAATTTATATAATTTAAAGCATATTCATATTAGTGGACCTAGCATAAACCTATGGTTCATTTACACACACACCCAGTTCATTTCATTCACATTGAACAAAAATTTTACTGAGTACTTCCTATGCGACAAGCACTGTGCTAAATGCTGCAACTACAAAGACAAATAAATCACAATCCTGACATAAAGTATTTACAGTCATGTTATTGAGACGTTAAAACACGTTTGTAACATACTATAATGCCTCATCATTAATTTTAAATAGATACCAACATAACAAGTGTTCTTCACTTAAAGCTGTTACCTTTTTCAAAGTTTGCTATCAAACCCTTCATGGCTGAAATATCAACTTCAAAACTAAGAATCGACATGGCAATATGAAAAGTTACACATTTCCTTTTTGTGGTAGGTAAAATCATACTGAACTCACCCAGATCTGAAGTCAAAGATGATTTGGCACAAGTTGAAGTAGAAGCCTTTAGTAGACTAACCTCTGGAGGGTCCTTTACTGTGTCCGAAGCGCCTCCTAGTGGTGATCAACATCATGATTTCCCACCTGGTAAAATTGTGGACCTGGAGGCCAAATTTAATGGAGATTATATTCAACTTTCATGGACTGCCCCTGGATATGTTCTTGATAAAGGAAGAGGTAAGTGTGCTATACATTTCAAAATAAACAAATCCCATTAGCTTTCATTTGCGAAGAACTTTCTAATGTTCCATTTATAAGTAACATGTATGAAGTCTCATCTACTAGGGCCCATAATTTACTGATTTTCATATGAAAAAATCAAAGCTCCAAGAGACAAGGAAAATTTTATATCTTAGAACTCGAACTTAGTCTTTTCAGATTGTATTGTGTCAAACTACCTCTCACTATTTGAACCATCTTGAAATTAGTTTGAGAAGACTGAGTTAGCAGCTTTCTGTTGCATTCTATTCTTCCTACAAGGGGAATTTTCTTCTAAATATTTCTGTACTTGTACAATTTTATTCATATTTTATGTTTTGATGTATTTTCAAACACTATTAGACTCATAAGAAACAACCTCTACACTCAACAGTCAATTGAGTCCAAAAGACACACAAATAACATAATTTCAGCTGCTGTAATAAGAGGCAGTTGTAAACACAGAATGATATGGGAGCTCGTAGGTAGACTATAAACTTCAAGTTGGGAGTTAAAAGCATAGTTTATATCTTAAAAATCTTTCCAGAGGAGTCTATCCCCAAACTGAGTCAAAGAATCAAACTAGCTAGCTAAAGGAACCCACTAGTTTGGAAAAACTTGTCCATGGAGTTTGAATAAAGTTAAAGGAAAAAATGGCTCATTTACACAGAGTCCCTAATAATAAATTTCTCTATTCCAGAAAGCTTAAATTACTCTGCTTTAAATTTAACTGAATTTAATCAAAATTTATTGAATGCCTACAATATTTCAGTATTATGTAGACTCGTCTACTTTTTTTTTTTTTAAGACTTATTTATTTATTGGAGAGGTAGAGTTGCAGACCGAGAGAAGTAGAAACAGAGAGAAAGACCTTCTATCTGCTGCTTCACTCACGAATGGTTGCAATGGCTGGAGCTGAGCCGACCAAAAGCCAGGAGCTTGTTCCAGGTCTCCCACATAGGTGCAAGGGCTCAAGCACTTGAGCCATCTTCTACTCCTTTCCCAGGCCATAAGCAGAGAGTTGGACCAGAAGTGGAGCAGCTGGGACTCAAACTGGGGCCCATATGGGATGCCAGCACTGCAGGCAGAGGCTTTACCCACCATGCCACAGCACCGGCCCCACTGTATATCTTTTTATTATTCTACAAGGAAAAATCACTGAGGTCACAGGAAACAAAATACACACAAAGTTCTTTTTGTACTTTCATGTTGAGAACTCTTATTTTGACATTCATATTGTGACATATTATTCTGAAAAAATCATTTTCTTATGCTATGATCCTGAAACATGAAAAAAATTTTAATTAAAAAAACCAATAGTGTCACTGAAAAAGCCACAAATGAAATTACTTAACCAAATACTTAATTCCAAATTCAGTTATGTAAAGAGCAAGACTTCAGTTAAATATTGGGTTCATAAAAATGCCTCACATGCTAATTATAGGAAGTAATAGAAGTAGGAATAACTCAATACACATAAACACTTAAGGGAAAGGGGTATCAACATGTATAGCCATAAACGCCTGAAATGTGTAGGATCTAACCTTTCTCTTTCCTTGTGACAAGCAGGAAAAGGGAATAGTAGCTGTGGAATGCTTCCTTCTGGTATTCCAAATGTAAAGTAGTAGTAGCTTCTTAAAAAATAAATCAACATCTATAGAAGTTCAGATGAAACATTTAAACTCTCTGGGACACAATTCTATATATATCAAGTATGGAAAATTAAACTGTATGACCTAGAATTATTAAAATAAGGAGACATAATCCTAATATTTTATAATTCTCTAATTCCACCAATTTGGGCATCAATTTAACAACTGTATTCTGGACCAACAAGTAATTAAGGAGATCAAATACATGCCCAAAGCAGTACTAGGTACTCAACATGATATGAAAGGAACACAAAGCAGAGTCTGTGCCCTCAAGAATAGTATAATCTGATAGGAATGAAAAATTGTATCTCACTAAAACAATCTGGAGAACTCCATCCTGGCATTAGGTGTTCATGGAAGACACTTTTCAGGTGGATGAAATATGCAAACAAAACTTCATGAAGAAGTTAGGCCCTGGTTGGACCTAGAAAAGTAAGAACTGCAGAGATAGGGAGAGGAAGGCATTTGGGGGAGAAAATGAACCTAATACTATAACCAAAGTCAAGAAACAAAATGTCACAATGGACTATTTCAATCAAAATAAAAGATGGATGCATAGACAGATCTATGTAAATGGAACATAGAGTTTGTATGAATACTACAATAGATTGATAAGACCTACTTGTGGAGAAATTCCATATTAAACAAAAGCTTTGAATTTTAAACACACACATACCACACCCATAGAGCCAAATTATTCACCATGCACTTGAACTATCTTTATCATTTCATGAAAAAATAAAAAATATTCACTTCAAAAAAGGACATTTGATATTTTATGATTTATCACATTATAGAATGTGAGAACATATTTTTATATCAATGACTGACAGATTTCCAAAAGAAGTATGCAATGAAACACATATGTTGACATGGTCCTTTCCTTTCTTGATAAAATAATAACAGTCATAACAGCTAATATTTCAAACATCTATTAACTTAATATTCATTAAATTATGCTAAACATTTTTCTTGCATTATTATAGATAGTTTTCACCACTAGAATAAAAGCAGTTAATAAATATTTGTTGAGTTAATTGAACAACTGAATCTATTTTGCAGATAAAGTGAATATAAGAAAGGGTAAATGGATTTTTCTTCATTACATAGTGGGAGAATTCGAGCACTAATCAAGGCCTGCCTAGCACCTGAGCACATGTTTAATTAGGACGCGTTCCAGGCTCCATGCTTCTTTGCTCTTTATCCTTACCCATTTCCCTATTTTGATTCTGTTCCTTCCCCTTCCTATTACTCCCTCTTACATAATGTATCTATTTGTTTCCCAGCTGAGAGATATATTATAAGAATAAGTGAGAGCTTCCTGGATCTCCAAAAAGATTTTGACAATGCTACTTTAATGAATACTTCTCTTCTGATACCTAAGGAGGCTGGATCAACAGAAAATTTTGAATTTAAACCAGAACCTTTCAAAATAGAAAATGGCACCAATTTCAATATTGCAATCCAAGCCATCTACCAAGGCAATCTCACCTCAAAGGTTTCTAACATTGCACAAGTAACCAAGTTCATTCCTCCACAGGAACCTAGCATCCCTGCTCTGGGTACCAATACTGCAATCAGTTTGGCAATTTTTGTATTAGCTGTGATCTTACCTATATTTTAAACTAGAAATTGTATTATAACTAAAATTCAATGTTATGCAAATTTGGTAAATATTCACTTAGAATTTGATTAATTGTACTCACTGTCTAGTATACAACTCTTTGCAATACCAAAGGGATGTACAAAGTTGTAAATTTCCTAATTCCTTGAGGTAATCAATATTGATTGTGCTGCTAAATGTAAGTTAAAATGAATATGCCATTTCCTGCCTTGAACAATCCATTAACTAAGTTTTAATACGAAAAAAGATGTATACTTGCACTTGTAAGCTTTTTAAGAAACATTTTTAACGGGTGTTACAAATTCATCTGATAAATTAACAAAACCAAAACCTGTCACTTCAAATATTTATGCATACTCAAAGCAAATAATGTTATGTTAGAATAATTTATATTTCATTCTTTATTATTAATGAATATTTCATGTTTATATAAGAAGTAATCAAAAAGATAATTCTTCAATGAAAAAATGGACTAAAATAGTAAAGAGGTCAAATTTGTTTTTTATTATTGATTAAAAGTGGCACATCAAAGCTTCAGCCATAGGAATGAACTGACAAGCAAGAATGCATTTCTGCATGAACTGTGGAACATCACAATTAAATTCTGTCGCCATTCTGAGAATATCATTGGGTCCTAAAAATATTACCAAGAGATTTTATTAAGATAGTTTTATTTTCACTTCACTCTACACAGCATCTAGAATAGTGCTTGATACATAGTAGATATCATACACATAATTACTATATAAGTTGATGAATACTTTCATACCCTCAAAAGAAGTTACAATTTGATCCCTTTACATTAAATATTCACAAAAATATCATGTGCACATGGTATTATGAATAATGAAAACTACTTGCCAACACTAACCTGAAATAATACATGAGTTTCAGAAAATTAATTGTATCATCTCAAAGGAATTTATAAGGTATCTAATAAAATGTAAAGCTATTATTGTGTGTATAGCAACAGGTGTGAGTTCTTGAGAGAAAGAGTTATATTGAACAAAAAATTCTTTGTTTAAAAACAAGAAAATTCCAAAAGCTGTTTGAACATCAGAAATGAAGAAGCTATGTTAATTTGGGCAGGCAGGGAGCTAGTGAATGAGGAGCTGAGAGACTGCCAGCAACCCTGCAATGCCAAAACCCCCACCTCTTTCACACTGATTCAACATGGCTGCCGGCTCAGCACATCCCTTCCCACCATGCACCTGAGCCTCACTTCCCCTCCTGCAGGAGATGCCATGATGACTATGTGTGTGCCACAGCCCCACACTGAGATACCATGATACTTCCTGGAGATCACCATGTGGGCTGAAGCTTCACACAAACTCTCCTTTATTTGTATATTCAACGAGGGCAACATCCCCTACCATATAAAGGCATGACCCCAACTTCGTCTGAGGCAGCAGCTTTTCCTTCCTCATGGAGACAGGTTGCCTGAACTTACTTCTGAGCGTCTACTGTCCCATCAAATAAATCCTGCTCTCCTACACATTTATGTCTTCACCTTACATTCTTTCACACACGGATGAGAGAAAACCCCATCAGGGGACATGGTTCCCACAATAATATGGTATATCTGGGAAAGTCAAAACAAAATTCTGAACATTAGCAAACCAAACACAGAATATTTGAAAAACAGTAATATGTCATGCCCAAGTTGAATTTATCTCATAAATCCAAAGATGATTTAATATCAGAAAATCATTATATTCACCATATTGACAAATTTAAAAGAAAAATTATATGATCACCTCAATATACACAGAAACGTGCATTATAATTCAATCACCATACTTCATCCAAAACGAAACTTTGAACCAATGGATGGGACATCTTTGTCTCTTGTTCTGTCTTTCTTCCTTTAAAATAAGAAATTAAAATAATAAATTTTTTAAAGTATTCATTCTTTTAAAAATTTATGTATTTATTTGAGAGGCAGAGTTACAGAGAGAGAGAGAGGACAGAGACAGAGAGAGAGTTCTTCCATTCACTCCCTAAATGGCCACAATGGCTGGTGTTGGGCTGATTCTAAGCCAGGAGCCAGGAGCTTCTTCCAGGTCTCCCACATGCATGCAGGAGCCCAAGCATTTGGACTCTTCACCTCTGCTTCCCAGGCCACTAGCAGAGAGCAACCAGGACATGAACCAACACTGCTACGGGATGCTGGCCCCGCCAGTGGAGGTTTAACCTACTATACCACAGTGCCAGCCCCAAAATAATAAATCTTAAAAATTTAAAAAAAAATGCACATTTGAGTGGGCATTGTGGTGCAGCGGGTTAAGCCACCATGGCACCCGCATCTCATCCCCGAGTGCTCATCTGAGTCCTAGTTACTGTGCTTCTGATCCAGCTTCCTGCGAATGTGCCTGGAAATCAATGGAAAATGACTCAAGTACTTGAGTTCCTGCCATCACTTGGGAGATAAAGATGGAGAGTTCCTGATTCTAGGCTTCAGCCTTGCTCAGCCTTGTCTATTGTGGGCATTTGGGGAGTGAACAAGCAAATGGAAACACATACTCTCTTTTTCCACCTTTTGAATAAGTAAGTAAATCTTTTAAAAATATGCACACCAGGGCCAGCACTGTGGTGTCCTAGGTTAAGCCTCTGCCTGTGGTGCTGTTATTCCATATGGGTGCAGGTTCTACTTTTGACTACTCCACTTCTGATCCATATCCCTGCTGGTGGTCTGGGAAAGCAGCGGAGGGTATCTCAAGTGCTTGGGCCCCTTCAACCACATGGGAGATCTAGAAGAAACTCGTGGTTTCTGGCTTTGGATCTGCCTAGCTCTGGCCGCTGAAGCCATCTGGGGAAGGAACCAGTGGATGGAAGACTTCTCTTTCTGTCTCTCCCTCTCTATGTAACTCTGCCTCTCAAATAAATAAATAAATATTTTTAAAAATGCATATAATTTAACAGTCTATCTATTTTTTCAACAGTCTATCTATATTTTTGTATTCCAGCAAACATGGAGCAAGATCTTCACCATAGCATGGTTTTTAAAGAGTGAAACAAACAAACAAAAAATTCTAAGCACCCAGTAGTAGGGGAGTAGACAAGTAAGATGTGGTATATTCTTGTGATGGACTCACACAACAGCTAAAAAAAATAAATTACATCTGTCTCTAATCTGTATTAAACATCTCAAATATAAAACATTAAAAAATCACAGAATGATAGGCACACTATGCTATTATGTACCTAAATTTAGATACAAATATACTATATTTGTAAGCATAAAAAAATGAAAGTATTTCTTTAATGTTTGGCAAGAGATACACTAAGTTCTACATAGAGGAAGCTTTGGATGATGAACTAGAAAAATAAATGAGACTGGGAGTATTGGTATAGTTACAAAGGTCTTCTTTTTTTAAGATTTATCTATTTATTTGAAAATCAGAGTTGGGGGAGGAGGAGAGACAGAGAAAGAGATCTTCCATCTACTGGTTCACTCCTCAAATGGCCTCAATGGCCAGACCTAGGCCAGGCCAAAGCCAGGAGCCAGGAGCTCCATCTGGATCTCCCATGGGGTGGCAGGTGCACAAGCACTTTGGCCATCTTCCACTGCTCTTCCCAGGCCATTAGCAGGGAGCTAGATTGTGAGTAGAGCACCAGTAGGGATATGAACTGTTGCTCATATAGAATGCTGGCATTGCGGGCAGTATCTTTACCCTCTATGCCACCACACAGGACCCATTATTTAGGTATCTAGCTTCAACAGCAGTATTTTATTCTTTAAAAAGGCTAAGATAATATTTTAATTAACATTTGTTATTTCCATTATCAGGAAAATGAGAGTTTTTCTACACTATTCCTTTTTTCCTAGGTTTCTAAAAATTTCTTAAGCCACCATCTACAACAGCAGCATCCCATATGGGCGCTGGTTCAAGTTCCAGCTGCTCCACTTCTGATCCAGCTCTCTGTTAATGTGCATGTGAAAGCAAGAGAAGATGACCCAAGTGCTTTGGCCCCTGCCACCCATGTGGGAGACCCAGAAGAAGCTCCTGGCTCCTGGCATCAGCCTGGTCCATCCCTGACTGATGTGGCCATTTGATGAGTGAACTAACAGATGGAAGACCTCTCTCTCTCTTTCTCTCTCTCTCTCTCTCTCACTCTCTCTATCTCTCTCTCTCCCTCTGTAACTTTGCCTTTCAAATAAATAAATCTTTAAAAAAAAGTTGTCTAAAAGACAACTAACTGAGCACCAAAAAGGAAACCTGTTGAAGTGAAATGGACACTATGAGAAACAGTGACTTGATCGGCCCTTGTCCTGAATGTTGATGTACAACTTAATACTTTATCCCTTTTAGTATTTTTTTTTGTTCTACTTAATACTATTGGTTGAACTCTGTAATTAACACACAATTATTCTAGGTGTTTAAATTTAACTGAAAAGTGATCTCTGTTAAATATAAGAGTGGAAATAAGAGAGGGAGGAGATATACAATTTGGGACATGCTCAAGCTGACTTGCCCCAAATGATAGAGTTAGAAATGTGCCAGGGGATTCCAATTCAATCCCATCATGGTGGCATGTACCAATGCCATCTCACTAGTCCAAGTGATCAATTTCAGTTCACAATTGATCATAATGATAGGATTAAGAGTCAAAGGGATCACATAAACAAGACTAGTGTCTGCTAATACTAACTGATAGAATAAAAAAAGGGAGAGAACGATCCAACAAGGGGAGCGAGATACACAGCAGACTCATAGAATGGCAGATGTCCTAAACAGCACTCTGGCCTCAGAATCAGCCCTTAAGGCATTCGGATCTGGCTGAAGAGCCCATGAGAGTATTTTAGGCATGGAAAGCCAAGACACCCTGTCAAAAAAAAAAAAAAATGAAATGACCTAAATGAAAGATCTCTGCGAGTGAGATCCCAGTAGAAAGAACGGGGCCATCAAAGAAGGAGGTACCTTTCTCTGAAGGGAGGAGAGAACTTCCACTTTGACTATGACCTTGTCTAAATAAGATCAATGTCCGCAAACTCAAAAGGCTTCCATAGCCTTGGCAACTCATGACAAGAGCCTGGGGAGATTACTGATGCCATAAACAAGAGTGTCAATTTGTTAAGTCAACAACAGGAGTCACTGTGCATTTACTCCTTATGTAGGATCTCTGTCCTTAATGTGTTGTCCAATGTGAATTAATGCTATAACTAGTACTCAAACAGTATTTTACACTTTATGTTCTATGTGGGTGCAAACTGTTGAAATCTTTACTTAATATACACTAAATCGATCTTCTGTATAGAAAGAGAATTGAAAATGAATCTTGATGTGAATGGAATGGGAGAGGGAGCACGAGTTGGGAGGGCTGCGGGTAGGAGGGAAGTTATTGGGGGGGAAGTCATTGTAATCCATAAGCTGTACTTTGGACATTTATATTTACTAAATAAAAGTTAAAAAAATTCTAAAAGTATAAAAGAAACAACTTACTTCAATCTAGCCCCATCAAATAAATTTACAAATATTCTCAAACCATAAAC